AGAGATGATAGTGAATAAGTGCCTTCACTGAATGAAAATAACAGGTACTAAATAATTTTTTAATGTAGCATTAAAGGTATATCAAGGACTAGTGGCTTGGAGCTGAAGTCAAGCTAATTTAAATGAAAAGGTAGGCTTGTGATTTTAAGTGTAAGCCTATTTAACTGCGAAACAAAGCACCAGGAGGCAGGTATTCTTTGTGATGTATATGCATATATATAACATAGCAAACTGCACTAAGGTCACTCAGTTGACCTGTACTGGCACTATCCAAAAGCAGACCCTCTGGATCTGCTTTTCATATCAGCTTGCACAAACCTTAGCTCAGTACCTGTGCAACAAGCTTCTGCATTTATTTTCTTGCAATTATCCTAACACTTGTCCTGCACATGTCTTGTGAACATGCCTGCCTGTTCTACTATATGCTATACCTCCTGCAAAACTTACTTTGCATTTGTTGCTGGAAAATATCCTTCCATCTTCTGACACTGCTGTCCCAGCACATGATGTCTCAGTTAGGGACAACTGACTCAGTTGACTGGATGAGATAAGCAAACACATTTTGGATGGTTGGATCTTGCTGGTTTGGAGCAACCTGCACTTTGAGACCAATACAGTATGGATGACCAATTTTGTATGTGCATTTTCCAGTTTTTCTCTGTGCCAGAGGCCTGGCTCATAGCCATTGCGTCATGGAAAGCTTCCACAGGGAAAACTGCACCCCTCCTATACATTTGGGAGGAAGGGTCATGATTGATGCAGGCTGTATTCAAAATAAGCACTGTTTAGTACTCTAGTTTAACCCTCACAGACATTTACTCCCTTTCAGGAACAGTCATGTCTCTCCTCTTGACTTCCATTTTGCGGGATTAAACAAGCTAGGATTCCAGGCCTCTTCCTAAAGCCTTTCTAATCCCTATCATGGAAGCTCTTTAATTCTTGTTTGATTTGTATGAATCTTTCTTGAGCATCAGTAACCAATGCATATACATACAGGTGCAGAGGCAACCTCACCCATGCCTTCCCATGACATTAGCATATCCTGCCCTTCATGGATTATGTCTCAGCTGGCAGATCTTCACTCACATGTCTATATTTCATGATTGCATCACACTACACATCACAACCATTCTGTTTCAGTAGTTTATTCTTCACAGTGCTTTGCTGTTTCCATCACCTGCTAACAAATGTCACCATCTGGAGCCCAGTAGAGGACTTTCTTCTCAGACCTATTACATTTTGTTTATCAGAGTACCACTAGATAAGATCAACTATATTTTTCTTTCTTAGTAAATAGATTTCAAACCTATTTCATTCACTTTTTCTTTCAAGTCTCTCTTTATTTCCCCTTCAAAATCTGTTCTGCAGCCCTGCAACATACTTAGTTCAGATTAGCAAGCCTCTGATTCCTTGAATTGCTTGTTACTGCCTTTTCAAATAAAAATATTATGTTTGGGTTAGCTCTTATGGAGTGTTTTTTCCCTCCTGCTACCTTCCCTAATTTGACAGTGTTACAAAACCTCATACCTGTCCCATTTTATGCCAATCCCACATCTTCTTTAATTTCTACTTTCTTATATAGTCAATGAGTTATTTATTATTGTTCCCAGTTCCTATTCGTGGTCTAATTCTTTTTAACCCTGGAAATCTTCACTCATTTTGTTTACTGACCTTTAAACTGCAGATTTCTTTTATCACAGCCCTTTCACCCATTCCCTCTAAGCTCTCTTCTTTCTGCTAAAACTCCATCTTTAATTGTTGTCTGTTTAGGTTTCAATCTCTATAGTTGAGATAGAGGTCCCAACTTTTTTTTAACACTTTATGTAATTTGGATCTTAAACCACTAGGAGGAAGCATTCAACAAGTTTCACTGTCCTGCTGCAGATCCCAGTCTTAGTTTTACTAAATTCAAAGGGGTTTGGGCAGGAACCAAGGGGCCTGCTGCAGCACAGATCCCTTTGAAAGAGCCATGGCACATAAACCCTTGAAGAATGTTTAACTATTCATCTTCCAGTCAGACTGGTTCCTTTGCTCCTTCTGCAAGGTGGTTTCACAATTCCATTCTCTGAAGAACAGAAGCCACTTCTAATTTCCAGGGTACTATATGCACTTTAGGTAGTTAAATGACACACTGTAGCTGTCCTGGTATTCTCATGCACTTCATTGGTATATTTATTGTACTACATCACTGTCAAGGGAGTAAACAGAAATATATTGCTGATCTGGTGTTTCTCATGCCTTGTCAAAGGGAAAAGCTCTCGCCCCTCATGTTTTTATTGACTTTATTCATAATGTCTTCAAAAAAATCAGTAATTTGGGGTAAAATCTGTAATACAGAGATTATGGAAGAGGTAAATGTTGATGAGACGAAGCTGTTAATGCAACACTATCAGAACAGTGGTTAAAAGGGGGCAAGCACGTAAGGTGTCATTCTTATGTGTGACTGGAAAGACAGCAGTGCATCTGGAAACAAGACCACAAGCCACATCACAAGAAACTAGGGTTTTAATATGGACATCTGTAGTATTCAAAATTAAGAAGGTTCAGATAAGATCCAGAAGGATTAAAGTACATGGCAAGAGACTTGCCTTCCCCTAAACATATCACCTTTACTGAGAAGGGCTTCTGAAGAACGTAAAACTCACTCTAAGAGGCAACTGCAATTTCTTGTACCAATAAACAGCTCACTTACAGTAGAAAATGATCGTTTGCACCCAATCTCCTACACTGGTGGATCTGTGACTCAGCTTCAGGGTGGCCTTCCCTGGCAGACAGACTTCAGTGAAGCTTGTGTATGCGGCTATCAATAAACCATTCTTATAATTAAAAATACCCTTTCCTGGCACACAGACTGACAAGGATGAGTTGCACCACCTTTGAGTATGGATGTGTTTAAACATATAACCTCCTGAGCGGGTGTTGGGACTCTCCAGTGCACACCCAAATTAATGGGAACATCACTACTGCTTCTTGATGGATTCTCTACATTGTGGGAATCAGACATTGAACAGGCAGGACCTGGGAAACAACATCTCACAAGCGCCATGTTGTCAGCTCCTGAACTGTGGTGGGTCACAAAATGGACAAGTGGTTTAAAAATAATTTTAGTCAAACAAAACCATTTAATTAATTTGTTTGTAACTGTTATTTTTATTTATTTATTTATTTATTTTTGGTCATGAACGAACAGAGCTCTGGGTTCGAATAGCACAGAGCTGTTGACTTCTCTGGGAAAATACTAATTGACAGTGCACCTGTCTTAAAATATGAGGGAGTCAAAACTAGTTAAAGATGCTATGATGTCATGAATGGCTAGGAGAAGGTAAGGAAATACCACAGAGAAAATTAAAAGATGCTATAAATATTTATTTGTATTCAGCGTTCAGACAATATTAACTGAAAACAGAGTCTCAGTAATAGGTGTAATTTACCTTTCATAGTAAAAGAATTTCTATCCAGAAAGCACACATTCTGAAGAGGTGAAAAAGACACAAAAAGAAGGAAATGATAGAAGACAGGACATGTAACTGCCACAGTAGAAAAAGGGTGTTGAAGAGGGTAGGCAACTTGATGCAGGTTGCAAACTGTACAACAGGTCCCACTCAGTTACAAAACTTGGTTTCCATTCTGGCCGAAATCAGTGCAGAAGGAAAAGCTCACCTGAGCCTTTCCAGAACCTGCCAAACCAAACAGTGACCACACAGCTACAACATTGCAACTAGCTTGTGTGTAACGTGTTTGAAGTTTAAGAAATTTAAATGTCATGAGTAATTAATGACTATGGCTAATGCATGACAAAGGATAGCAGTCATTACACAGCAAAGTGCATCAGCTGGAAGCATCTCCAAAGTACATGTACAAAGGACAAAAAACAACACTCTTTGGGCGTGTGTTTTTCTGAGAATCCCAAGCTAGTTAAGGACATGAAGAAAGATAAAGAACTTCTTAAGGAAAATGTGGTGAGGATCATGAGAGACCATGTGCACACAGAGTTTCAGAAGTAGAATTTGTGATTACATTCTTATTCTTCTGTTAACCCCCAGACCCAAATACTTTAACCCAAAATACCTGTTTGTCCGTATTCCTCACTCTTTGGTTTCTCCTCATCTTTGAAAGAGAGAGAAAACTGATCCTCCCATCAGAGAAACACAGGCTGATGGGGGAAAGCCTCCTACCACCAATGGAGCACATCCACCTTAGGTTAAGGTTTCATCCCATGGCCATGGATGATGCTCACTGCCGTGAAGCAGCTCATATGGGATCCATATGGCACTCCCCAGCCTGGGTTACTGAAACCTAAGGGAGCAGTTGAAGCAATACTGCCAATTGCCACCCAATTTAAATGCTTATTTGTGTCTCTTTTAAACCACCACATTGGCAGGAATGAACTTGAGCATGAAACTTAGCCATTCTGTGAAATCTGATGAAAGGATGTAACAAACACAATTTGTTATAGAGTGCTTTCACCTTGCTGACAAAGGAAACCAGGTTAAAAAAGTAAACCTCACAGACAAAATATGAGGCAAGGTTTTACTCAGCTCAGTAAAACTTCTGTAATACTAAGAATTGTATTTATTATTTCATTAAGCTGCAGCAACACAACTACAATAGCATACATGCCATGACTTATTCTGTGAATTGATCATATTGGAAGAAGTCCACTACACTGTGGCATATCTGTTGCTCATGCAGTGGCTATGTTTGTAGTACATCTCTCCCCAGACATTAAAAAAAGGAAAATCAGCGGCCATTTGCTTAACAGGCTTATAATAACAGTATCAGTTAGGAATTGACTAAGGGTAAAATCTAGCTCCTTTCCTTTCAGCAATTTATCTTAACACTAACATTCTTTTTCTGTTATCCAGCAGATGCATTGGTGCTTGGGCTTTTCTCTGCTTCTTACTCCACAGAATCACAGAATCCCAAGGGTTGGAAGGGACCTCAAAAGATCATCTAGTCCAGGGGTAAAAGATCATCTAGACTCCAGGGGTAGTGTCAGCAGATGTGAATCCACCACAGCACTCAGGCACTGTGTGACCTGCTTTGCAGTTGCGTGCCCTCCACCAAACAGATCCAAAACCTTTCTCTACATATGTAAACACAGAGCAAAGCTGAACACAGCACAGCCAAAGGCTACAATTTATCTGCTACCCTAGTTAATCAATCACGATCAAAAGACTTTGTTTATCAGGGAGACTGCCTCAGCTGACAAGTATTTACAGTATCAGCCTCTGTGAACATTTTAAAATATTCTTAGTAACATAGTCACTGATGAACTATTTAATGTCTAGAGATTGTTCATTACCTGTAATTTCTCCATTCTCAACCACGAGATTGCTACTATTGGCTCTTGTGACACTGTCATATGATGGAGGGAAGGATGCTGAGGACAAAGTTTCAGACTTGTCAGGACTCTTACCATAGTTTTCACCCGTCATACATGCAATAAGTCCTTCTTTTTCTGGAGCAACATCTCCGAGAGTATCAATACTGCAAGTTCTGAGATGGTCTAGATAAGAAGCCTGCTTTATAGAGCGCAGGAGCAAATGACTCCTGTAGGCACGCTGGATGACAGTGGCAGATGCTTCCTCTTGTCTATGTCTGAGCGTAGTAGAGATTGGTTCATAGGATTTTTTTGATGGATTGGCAGACATGAACTTCTCTTCCATTTGTACTTTTAGAGTATCCAGCTCCCCAGAATCTCCTAACACTCGTTTAGTAAAAGCAAACAAAATGTCCAAGCAGTGGATCCTGTCTCCACTGACCATAGGCAGATCCATTGCTATGAGTTCAACTTTATTTGGCTTTGGTACCCGTAAAGGTTCAGCCAGAGCGTCTGCAAAGTCTGAAAGAGCAGAGAAAGTTATAAACTGAGTTGCCTCAGGATCAAACTTCTCCCAGATTTCATAAAAGATGTCAAAGTCATCTTCCCCTAAAGGCTCTGTACTTTCCTCTGTAGCAGCATTGAAGTTCTCCAGAATAACAGCTATATACATGTTTACAACAATAAGAAATGATACAATGATGTAACTTACAAAATAAATAATACCTATGGCAGGTTTACCACATTCACCTATAGTACCATTTATATTTGGATCACAGAATGGTGGCCCAGTGTTTAAAATAGGACTAAGAAGACCATCCCAACCAGCTGACGTGGTAATTTGGAAGAGACAAAGCATGCTGTTAGCGAAAGTTTGGAAGTTGAATATATCATCAATGCCGTCTTCCATCTTCACATAGGCAAAGTTAGCCATGCCAAAAATGGCATAAATAAACATGACCAGAAAAAGCAAGAGGCCGATGTTGAATAGAGCAGGTAGAGACATCATTAATGCAAAGAGCAGTGTTCGAATTCCTTTGGCAGCCCGGATAAGTCTCAGTATTCGTCCAATGCGAGCCAAGCGAATGACCCTGAAGAGTGTAGGTGGTAAGAAATGTTCAAATGCTTTGCCAATGCCAGAAAGCAGTAAGGCTAAAATGAAAAGGATAACGGCTGGTTAGAATTCGCATTTCAGCCTGACTAGTAAGTAGGATGAAATTATAATATCTGTGCAGTTGAAAAAATACCTGATGCATGTGTGCTAAGACCATAACGAACAACCTTTAATAGAAATTAGATTAAAAAGAAATAGCTGTAGAAAGCAACAATTATGAACAACATTCTTCAGCCACCAGAAGATAGCACCTGTTGCACTAAGGATGGTAAGCACATTTCCATATACAACTTCAAATATCCAAATCAGTCAACACTCAATGGCTGATGGTTTTCTTTGATGCTCATTGCATGAATACTTCAGCAGGTGCAAGTTATGCACTTACCTTCTAAATTTGACTTCAAATACAGACATTATGAAGCTAAACTGAGAAAACAAGACATACTAATAATGTCATGGTCATCATTTAGATAATATAGTCAAGATATGCATAAGCAAACCCAGTGATGGACACTGAAGTTGTGCATGCCTCTCTACAATCACTTTTGGTTCATTAGGGACATAGCTACACAGGAATGTTATTTTATCTTTAGTTTGCATGAAAAATGACAGACCTAGTAGCAGTAGAAGAGGTTTAGTTTTTCTAGGTGTTGATGTGTTGGATACATTTTTCAGGATTTCTATTCCAGGAACTTAATTTCTCAAGGAAGAGCCACATTCTCATTGGAATCTTACTTACTCAAAACATAAGTCATACTAAAAAACCAAAATATTTTTCTTCTCCTGAATGTCTTCTGCTATTTTGGCAATACAAGAGTTAGAAGTTGTTACATTGGCAGAAATCTCAAATTCGCCACAGCTCTTTACCCCATTCTTCCACTGCAATCACTTCAAATTGAACCTGTGATACATTTCAGTTGCTCTTTTCTGTTCTGTTACACAGTGTAAACCCTTATTTTCAATCAGCTATGCCTGATTTTCCAGAAATGGTATTCTATAGTCTATAATTTAATTCCAGTCTTCATATTCTCTATATACTTAAATTCTTTACTACAAACACAGATGACAAAACCCAGTAATTTTTATCTGATGGAAGATTTTCTTAGCTGGCACTAAACCTATAACAATGGAAATTATCACATAATGTGGTACTGGTATGATCAGTTATTCGTTCTTTCTTTCAGACTAGGAAAAGGAACCTAAAGAATCATGATGAAAGATTTTACGTAACACAAGTGCTTTTAATTTTTAATACTTTTATTAAAATAGAAGAAATTTTTTTAAAATTTATTTCATATTATTTGAGTATAATAATGGTGGGGTTTTTAGTCCTTTTTCCTCAATAATTATGATTTCCATTGCAACATCTATTTGCAGTTGATAAGTTTTAAGTAATTTTTCTCTGAAAGGAATGATAATTGGTTTAGCAAATAATTTGCCAAACAGATTTTACTTACCAACAAGTGACATGATCACAACAACTAAATCAAATATGTTCCAGGCATTTGAGAAATAGTACTGCCTCAGAGCCACCAATTTCAGCACACATTCTGCAGTAAAAATGGCAACGAAGAGTATATTGATTTTGTTAAGGATGTTAGTCTTTACTTCACTTTGCTCATAGGTTTCCACCATCATGGTGATCATGTTAAGGCAGATAAGAATCATGATGACAACATCAAAGGCTTGACGTGTTACAATGTCAAACAGGAAACCTTGGTACCTGTTCTAAAGAAAAAACAAATACATCGGGCATCAGGTATGAAAGTAGGGAGCATTCACCTGTACATGTTTTATGTTGCAAAGTCACTCAACTATAATGAAGTCAGAGAAATTTAAGGCAGAATATAAAAATTATGTCAAAAATTCCTTCCCATCCTGAAGTTTAACCAGTTCCAAGGTAAATGTAAAACCCAACATTATTTATGCAGAGAACTTAATAAATATTTAACTTGTAAAATCTTTAAGTGCAACTTTTTGGTATGAAATTTACTTTTGAGCACTGTCTGAGTATCGGTATACAGACTGTATAAATAATTCATATGCAATGTATGAACACACACACTTTTAAGTGAATTAAATAGCACTTCTGCAATGCATTTTTCTTTTGAAGGATTCAGACAGTCTTACCAGTGGTCTTGGAATGGGTTTTTGTGGTTTCTTGGATCCCAGCTTTTTCATTGCATTGTAATATTTTTTCTGTTCTTCTGTCATAAAGATATCTTCCCCACCTAAGTATTTAAAGAAATGTCACTGTTACTTAGTGTGAAAGCAGCACGATTGTAGTTGCAAAGTCTGAAATGCTGGAAACTAATGTTCCTTCCTTTGTCATGTGTTGCTAGTACTAGCCTTTTCCATAATGTGTAACTGTGTCCAAAAGAACAGTGTCACAAACCATACATTCACAGAGCAGAAGTCCTGGGGTGACACACACCTAGCTCAGGAAGCATGAAATCAAAGTACCTACTGAAAACCTGGACAGGAACAAATTTTTCCCTGGCTTCACACATCCTGGTCTTGTTGAATATCCAGACTAGTCATCAGAGTACCTGTACCAGACCACTTTCAAAACGAGTTTCCTGACATGCTCAGTTCCCCAAAATGAGCAAAATTTAAAGGGCTGCAGAGAAGATGCCATTGCCTTCAAAACCCTGGGAAAAAGATAGGTGTTCTGATTATAGCAGAAAAGAATGGAGGCAGAAACTCACCCTGGGTGTTACTTCTACCAACTTAATTACTAATGCTCTTGTGAATGCCAACAGAAGTTTAAGAGTCTATGTATAGCAAGGACCATGTTCTCTTAAGATAGTGTTGCTCAAGATATAGTAGTTGCCTGGGAGCACAAGCAGTATACTTATCTTTTTTTTTTGTTGGTTGAAGTTGTCAATAATAACACCCACAAAGAGATTCAGGGTAAAAAAAGATCCAAAGATAATAAAGATCACAAAGTAGAGATACATAAATAGACTGTGCTCCATTTTTGGCTGTTCGTTTTTCTGCAAAAATAAGAAGCAACATGAAAAATCACCAATAACGACACGGCCCAATTCAGAATAATCTTCATATTGCAGATCTTCCCACAAATAGATCCCAGAATTACAGACCTACTGTTAGTTTTGACAAAATTGGTATAGTTTAAAACTACCAGTACTGCATAACACAAGATTTTGTATGTATATGACACTTTTGGAAGGCGAACAAAATGGTGGAAGAAAGTAACATTCTTACTGTGACCACATGATGCATCAGAATTCTATGATCTCATACACGCATCATTGCTTCAGATGCCGTTGTGGGCTGGGTGCAGTTTTTTTTCATTTTGAAACCTGTCTTAAAACCCTACAGTTTGCAATTGATTGAGACCCTAATAAAGTCAATAGAAACAGTTACTGAATTGGACATTCTTGACATGATTTTCACAATCATTTTCAGAAGCATCAGTTCAGCTTCTTCCAGTAAGAATAGGAGCTATAAATTGCTCAGTACTTGAAAAGTCAAGCAAACTATTTAGAAGTCTAATTCTAAGCTGTTGCCATTAAAAATCTTGGCCTACATATGTTCTTTTCTTCTCAGAAAAAAAAACTTCTCCAATGGCTACTTTGGACCAAAAAAAATAAAAGAAAAAGAAAATCAGAGCAAGAAGTTTTTCAAATCAAAACACAAGAAACCCCACTGAAATACACACAAAATTCATGTATGGTTACTTTTAAAATTACTTGACCCCTTTGAACTCACGATCAAATTAAGATAGCCTTTTCATTTCAAATTATTTGCCTCCAAAGACATACCCGTTTGTTCTGCATAACATCAGATAATGCATCTAATATGACAGCAAATGTGACTGACAATATAAACAATAGACAAAATAGTACTCCTGATGCTTGACAATGTATTTTAAATGGTTGCTTAGCCACAATAGCTCAACTATTGGTAAAGATTGGTTTTACATTTTGAAATGGACTATGTTACTTTAAAACATTCAGGTTTACTCCACATTTGAGTTTCATAAGAGAAGATGTGTGAAGGTAGGTGCTTCCATGTGAGTGGGAACTTTCAAATCCCCTGCTAGCTGATGGACATCCAGTTATTAGTAGAGCCAACATAGTATGAAGAGGTGTTCAGCTGAGCAATATAGGTATCCAAGGTGAGCAGGAATACTGCCTAGATCCTTCTGAGCATATTGACTAGGTCTTCATCACTGATAGAGGGCATTTGGAGGTGAACCCAAATGGAAACCTTACACTATGGTTAACTGCATTTAGGTTGGTGAGGGGATCTGGAGTTGAATTCCTCTCCCTATTACAATAGATTAGCTGTAGGATAATATGAGTCATTCACAGATTAAATGTTTACATCAGATGACAAAACTAATTACTGGAAAAAATTGGCACAAGCAGCAGAAGTAAAAATACAGAAATCATAATGCTATTGAAGAAAGCAGTAGCATTGACAAAAAATATAGTTTAACTATAATGACTGACCTCTCGTGAATCTACTGCTGCATACATGATTTCCATCCAACCTTTAAATGTTGCCTAAAGTGAGAGATTATAGAAAACATGTTGAACTTTCAGGATAAGAGTCTTCACGTAATTTGCAATATCTAAATGACACAGATTGGAGTAAGAGCATGGTATGGTCAGAAACCTTCATTAGCATGGTCTATTAAAGGCTTTAACAACCCTCACGGCTAAACAATCTGTATTTTGGCAGATTAGGTCAATATTTGCCCCATATTTCCTTCCGAGATAGACTAGCTCTCAGGCTTGTGAACCTGCTGGGGAATCAAAGAGCACCTGTATAACAGATGCTTACTTTATCACCTGGAAATTCTTAGTGGTGTTTAATTTGTCCCCCTTTTTCTATTTGTGTGTACACACCGTACTAGCATTTGAACAGCCAGATACAAGAGTAGAGCCAGCTGTACAATACTACTCTCTTCCATCACCCGTAGATGTAAATTAGGAGCAGCCCACATGGCATGGTGCTGGCTAGTGCAGGCAAGCAGCACTTACCACCTGAAGAAGAGCCAGGTAGCCAGAGCCAACATCATCAAAGTTGACTTTAACATTGACCCAGAATATTTTTCCTGTGTTATTATACATTCTACAATCTGTTATGTCATTGATTGAATTATTTAATTCTGAATCTTCTTCTGTCAGATTGACACATTTCCCAAACTTCCCAGCAAAAAGGGTCACTCCCATGATGCTGAAGATGAGCCAGAAGATGAGGCAGACAAGCAGAACATTCATGATGGAAGGGATAGCTCCCAAGAGGGCATTGACAACCACCTTGGATGAAATAGGAGAGGAAAAACACACTTAAACAAAGATGGGCTCAAGAATGTGCTCAATGCAATAAACAATCACTTAGTCATCTCAGCAAACAGAAACCTAATGTTTTCCGTATAAATACTAGTCACAGCTGTCAGGGGTACCTTGAACAAAGATGCAAACCTCTATAGTATATCTTAGGCTTTCAAAGAGAAATGTTGAAATAATTTGGTCTGCTGCAAGCCACTACTACATAATACAATGTGAGACCATCCTGTTTTAATGCCTTTCCCTTGGGTTTGGAGTAGGGGATGTTTTGTTTGTTTTAAGCTTTTATAACATAAATTTTCTGAACTATTCATCCATAGGCACTTATGCAGAGGACTGTATTATTAAGACTGTACAAAGCAGTTTTTAAAAGGTCCAGTAATAACTATCCACTAGTATTTTGCTCTATCTATTATTTTTAGTGGATTATGATTGTGTTTGGAGTGTGTAACCATCAGCTAGGTACTTTTTCTGTGCTAGGTGCTGTACAATCATAAAAAATGTCTATATAGGTTTTAAGTGCATGCTAAGACATAACAGACTGCTTCATTAAGTGGGGTAGTGTAAGGAAACCATGACAATATGGTGGAGGGAGTCAACTCAGCTGTCAGGTAGCAGCTGATCAACTTGATGGACAAGAATAAAAATTAAAGAGCTTTGTGAATCGTTTTGGACACCAGAAAGTATGATGGCACCTCTTTCAAAATCAACTCCCAACATGGACATTTTGATACATTGTTAATTAATTCAATGCAATTTTTCTCTGCCTTCACAGTGATAGGATTGCAATTGAAGAGCTTTCAGTCTCACCTCCAGAAGATATTCAAGAGCAATCTGTATTGCTTCATTACCATACAAGTGTGTGACAGTGATGCCATAGGTATTTCTATCACCTGTTTTTGCATGCCAGAGTATATCCCATAGACCAGACTTCTGACAAAATGTCACTGTGATTATCATACTGTTTCACAGTGCATTGTACAGTTGTGTTTTGCATACGGCTTAGGGAAACTTTCTCTGCAGTTGCTTAATGGTAGATTTGCAATTAAATGTTATTAATGTACAGTAGCTTCACATTGTTCCAGGTGCTCCTTTGGTAGAAAAAGGTAGCAAATATTCTACAAACACTCTTGCATTTTGAAAGAAGTCTCTTTAGAACAATAATTTGAGCTGTGTTTCTTAATAGTCTAAATTTCTGTAAATCAATTCAGTGAAAACTTGTGGAAGGGAGGTGATTCTTTCCTCTAAATTAACTTGTCATCAGACTTTGAAAATGAGAACTGTGCTCACAGTTCTTATTCTCTCTTTTATTTTTGGCTATCTCAGTAAGACAGAAACACAAGAATGACTGAACAGCAATGGAACAAAGTTCTGCCTGATCTATTTTTAGTTTCAATGGCCCTTAGGATCAATCACTAGAGGAAAGTGTAAGTAGCAGCCAAGTACAGAGGAACCTTTTATAAATCCATTTTATAGGTTCTAAACTGAACTTGGGATATACATGTGAACTTCATAAAGGTACAGTCATGAGTTACGAACCTGTTACATGCTTATTATACTGACAAGCTTTAATTGGTATTCAGTCTTACCCTCATGCCTTCAAATCGAGATAATGCTCTTAAGGGTCTCAGAGCTCTGAGAGTCCTAAGAGATTTCATAGGGCCTAATGAGCTGCTTAAGAGGTCTGTTAAAGAGACCTGAAAAGGAAGACAAAAGACAGCATTAGCAATGTCCTGACACCTGTTTCCTTTATTCCTGTTTAAAAAACGACAAACAAAAACAGAAACCCCAAAACAAATCTCCCCATATTTTCAGCACCCAGAGTGCAAGATCCTGAAACCATCATTAAAGGAGGCAGGAGAATAATCGCCAATTCTACTACATCCTGCATCACAACCTCTGTCGAAACACCAGAGACAGAACTTACTCCTACAATAAGGAAGTCCAGCCAACACCAGGCATTGGTGAAATACTTCTTGAAGCCATAAGCCACCCATTTCAGAAGCATCTCCAGAAAAAAGATGAAAGTGAATATTTTGTCAAGAAATGACAACATAGTTTTAATGCTTTTTCTCTCATTTATATGTATGTCTTCAAATGCCTGAAATTGTAACATAGAGATAAATGGTAAAAGTCAAAGATGAGCTAAAGCTCAAAATGGAAGTCTAGAATTATTAAGAACCCTTCATCATTCAATAGGTGTTTTACACAAATCTAAATGCAATCTTACTCAAATCTATGTCAACTGGTAAACCTGAAATTCTCCCTGTCCCTTTTCTCTATATACGACAGCCTTGTACTCCTCTATAGTACAGCCTATAGTAACAGCATGATGTGGGGACACACACATCATGCACACTGGAATCCTAGGAAGAAAATATGTGACTTTTGGGAAATTTATTTCAAGACTTTTAAACACTGAAGACAACTAGGTATTATTTTTTTTCTGTTAAGAGTCATTTATTTCTATTAATGATATAAAAACTCCTTTATATTTCACAAATGAGTAATAACTTCCTGAGAAATATCCAGTATACAACCAGAATAGAAACAGTTTCTGAGATTTATATATTTTTTGCTTTGCTCATGCTCTCTTATAATTTTTCATAACATGAATAATTACAATAGTGAATAAATGACTGCTATATGAAGCCTCTTCTTTTTTTTCCCCTGAGTTCAAAGATATTTGCTGTGTTTTCTGCTGAAAACAACTTCTCTGTGTGCAAATTAATGTTAAAAATGCCTCTAAATAAGGACATGAAACTGTGCTGTACTAACCAGGGCTCCACTGCTCAAAAGAATCATGAATATGATAAAAGATTCAAACCAGGAATGTTCAACAATCTGGTAGCAGGTTTTTCTGAGATTCCACCATGTTTCTCTTCCAGACTTTATGTTACTGCCCACATAACAACGAAAGTATCGAACACAACCTAAAGTGAGAGACAACAATGAATGTATGGAAGGAATGCACATGCATGTGAAGGGGTTTCCCAGAAACATTTTGGGGCAGGGAGAAATCAACAGACACATTATCTGCATCATTGTTGGTCGTTTTCCCTGTTCTACCATGAGAAATAAAAAGGAAACATCTAATTTTGTTTGCCTTGTAACTCCTATTTACATAAAGTAGGTGGAGCCCTTTTAGACAACTTCCCATTATGTCATATTCTATCTGACACATAGGCTCCCTAAGAAGACACATCTCCTTTCAAGCCCACCAGATTACTTTTCATATCAGATAATGACACCAGGGCCACCTGACATTTCCTGAAAATCTCATTACAAAATCCTTATAAATTACTTACTAATTTTGTCAAGAATTAACTCACCTTGGCTAACATTTTCCTTGCTGTATGCTCTATGCTAATTCATGTTTTCATTATGGTGAAAAATGTCAGTCAGAAGGCATCTGTCATTCCAAGCATGGAAAAAAATAATGCATATATGTGTCATATGTATATGATATCTTACATACATTATATAGTGTCATATATATAACTCATATATACAACAGGATATAATATGTGTAAAAAACCTCTAATAGTTTTCCTTTTAATAATCCCAGTTTTCCCAGTATTGTGCAAGATGAGGCAGGGATTGCACAAGATGACAACTTTTTGTTGTGCAGACATCTGTGTTAGGTACAGCTCTGCTGCACCATCAGTTAAGTTCTCTGATAGTTTGGCTGCAGCAGGCACATTCCAGCCTGGGACTACAGAGCACCAAACATTTCACAAATCTTCTCTGGGGCAGGGAAAAAAACCCAAAACCAACCAGACAAACAAAAAAGGAACAAAATGTTAATTTCTTTTGTTCTAAGGGCTGTACTGGCAAAAAAAAAAAAAAAAAAAAAAAAGCCATTGATAAGGAGTTTTGTAAAAAAACCACCTTGTAACTCAGAAACCTGACATCTGTATTATTAATGCAATACTTGTGTGTTTTTCAGGAGAAATCTAACTGCAGTGTAGGAACAGTGTATCTCCCTTACAATTTATGAAGTATAAAACAACAGTAAAAATATGTATTAGTACACAGAGAATACTTTGCATTCAGGTACAACACCTCTCTAGCTTCAAATAATTTCTACATGCTTCACTGTTATTGATCTAATCCTAAAACTGTGCATTAGAAATTTCATTGACCCAGAAAGTGCACTGTTTAAAAAAGGCCAGCTTTGCAGAACAGGGCAAGGAGGTGAAGGGATGGGAGCAGTTACAACCAGATTGGATTTATCCATGTTTTCATCAGATAAAATATCCAGAAAGTGGTGTTTAAATAGGAAAGTGGTGATGAAGGAAAGGCTTTGCCTTTGGGAGCAGAGGAGAAGAACAGGCTCAGAGAGCTGTGGGACCTGCTGCTGGGCTCCACACATGCAAGTCTGAGAAGTCCCTCCTGATCAATGTGTGGTACAGGGAAGCTTGAATGGACAAAAAACAACAGAATCAAAGAAAACTCGGGGAATGGGTGGAAATGGTGATGGAGCAAAGAGTAAGTTGTAGCCCCAGGAAGAATTTTACTACGGTTATAATTCATTTAGTATAACACATGTGGAATAAATGAGCCTATAAGAGATGGAGCATTCACAGCTTCCCTGGGCAATCCATTCCAGTGCCTCACCACACTTACAGTAAAGAACTTCTTCCTTATATCCAATCTAAACTTCCCCTGTTTAAGTTTTAATCCATTACTCCTTGTCCTATCACTACAGTCCCTAGTGAAGAGTCCCCCTCCAGCATCCTCATAGGCTCCCTTCAGATACTGGAAGGCTGCTATGAGGTCTTCATGTAGCCTTCTCTTCTCCAGGACGAACACCCCCAACTCTCATGAATTCATTCTTACTACCCTAACATGTTAGGGTAGGAAGAATTCAAAAAATGCCACCTCCTGACAGTTTTAGGGAAGTTTACAATAAAATTGTTTTGTTTTTCAACCTCCAGAGCTCCCATGGTTTCTCCAGTGAACCGTGCTGTGCATAGCAAAAGAACACCTCCCCACACACGGACAGGACAAAAGTACAAACAAATTTGATTTGTCAAGTGGCCATTGCCACGTGAGACCTGATCACATACACTTTTATGTTAAACTCCAGAAGTGACTTGGATTTTGTCCAATAGGGTGAAATTTGCCTTACCTCACTATAATAATCTCCTTTTGGGGGATTGGGTCTATGCCATTCCTCAGATACCAATTAGGAGCAGCTGGCATTAAGGGGAAGGGAGGTTATTTTGCAGGTATCACAGTCTCTCCATTGACTAGAGAGGCAGAAAGATTTGGACTGTTTATTCCATTTCCAGATAACTAATGTTAGCTGGAAATAACCAGACCCTACAGACTTAGTATCACTAGAGAAACAAGTTGAGTTTTGACTCTTCTCACTTCCCGGTAGTGAAATCATGAGAGCCTTGCCTTCAGGAAAACAGTCTTCTGGAGTCTTGAAGTCTTCAGCAAACTCTGGAATCTGTTTCAAAACATCTTCACGATTTGTCAGATCCACTGTGCTTCCTTCAGAAGAGCTGACACTGTTAAACTATGGAACAAAATAAGATCAGGTTTTGATTCTTTCTGCATTCAGCTCCAAATAAATAAATTTACCCATGAAAAAATAAATTTCAAAATTAAAACTTGGCTATGTACTAATATTTCAAATAGTGTGGCCAATCAAACAAACTTTGTGATCTTAAAAGTTTATGAACTTAGAATTGCCAATAGAGGCCAAATATAATTGCAATATCTGTCTACATGGACCAGATGTAACCACTTAATAAACTGGTAGATTGAAGAGATTTTAAATTGCTTATAATCATATATATAGTCCTCAAAGCAAGATAAAACACTTGAGTTAAAGCCATTAAATCATACAAAGATACATTCAAACAGGAGAAGGAGACAAATATATCAGGTTCTGAATACCCACAGCAGAATTTATGAAGTAGAAATTGGAATCATATATTCTCCAGTTACAAAGCTTTTTGCTACCCCATTACACCATACATAATGTACGATGAGTCAGCAGTTTCTTACAAATTACTTCCTTTATGCTTTTCTTTTATGTTTGCATATTGGTGTTTGTACTTTTTAATGTATTTATACAAAATTATTCAAGAAATATTTTTAATTAAAAATTACTACCTTTAATGTCATAGCAAGAATGCAATTTCAAGTATTACTTTTCTTGAAACCAAGATACTTAGGACATGGGTAGACATGATGGAATTTCCTACTTGGAAACATCTCTCTTTCAATATCAGTTTGGATTTTTCCCCTCCTCTTGTTTTTTTGTGGACTCAGGTTTCAATAAATGGAAAGTAGCAGAGAGTATTTAATAAATTATTTATGTGAATCAAATGATTTTGTATTTTTTCCCTATTAAACACTGTTTCCTATACATACTTTTTCTTAAATGTCAATACCTAGAAACAAGCACAGCTGTGATTTTATTCACAGAATTAAGACTGTCATTAATCAGCCAAACCAACTACTGCAAGCTCAGAGTTGCTTTTGCCACTGACTCCCACTCCAGAAAATTCTTGGACAGAAATGTGCCTGTTCTGGACCAGAGCTGGAAAGTCAATGTCGTAGGAAAAAAACAAAAAATTACCTCTTTTTCTTCTGGTGATGACAATTCAAACTTCCTATCCTTTCCTAGGTAAAGCACACTGAATTCTTCAGAGGAAAATCCTGATCCTTTACTCCAGCTGCTTGAATTTTTAGCTCTTTCTCCCCTTTGCCTCAGGTGATTTTCATCCTGAAAATAATCTGTGGATTAGAAGGATTTTCTTTTCCGTTTTTAGGAGGTGGACAAGTTGTAAGGGAAAGAAAGATAAGATGTGCATTTCATTTAGAGTAGGACTCTCCTGACAAAATCATAAGGTACAATCTTTTTGATTCTCTGATTTTACCTAAAGATAGAGAGAGGGGAATTTTTCTCAGTAGACATGTGGCAAACTAATGAATTCCAGTGAACTATCCAAAAGTTAAGTGAGATTTTTTTGTGTAAGAATTAAGACTGGCACATAAGATAGGAAATCTTAAGACTAAACTGGAAATTATCTATGGTTAAAATAGAACTGAAAAATTAAGAGAACACAAAGAAATAGGATAACATATGCTAGCATGCAAAAAACATTACCTTAATAAAGCCAATCCATGCTTATGCCTTCTAATTTGTTCTAATAATTACTACATACTATACACAGCAAGGACAAGTACAGAGAATGGACCAGAGTTATAAATTTGTATTATCAGTCCGTGACAATGTTCTTTATGCAGAACATGCTTTTTTGCTGTTATATAAATAATTCCAAAATAGTTGGCATTATTCACATAATGGGGGGGGGGGGGGTGAGGTGGGGAGGGGGGTGGTGTTACACAATAATTCCAAATTCACCACAGACTGCCACAATTATCTGTGGGCAATCTATGAGCTATACAATCACATGTGCTACACAGCAGGTCAGCTAGGAATTCCTGCAGCAAACCCAACAATTTATGGTCTTTCTTTTAAGACCATGAAAGAATTCCGATTTTAAAAGGCTCCAAGTAATAATTTACCTTCACTTTAAACATTGTATTCTTGGTTCTAGTTCAAAATTTAGTAACTCTGGAAATAGATCAACATATGCTACCCTGCTCTGTTAGAGACACTCTTCCACCATACATGCATTTATCAACATACATATGATGCTACTGTTCCAGTGTAAATGAAATTTATTACCTGTTTGCTGTATTCTGTGTCTGTAAATGTGCTCAGCTTATCATCATCTTCAAAATCCTCACTTGTATTCTCTGCCTCAGCAATAGGGACGCAAACAAATACATTGGGATTGGTAATAAAATCTTCAAGAGCTAAGCATTTGTCCCCATTTTTCTCAGCCCATTCATTATTGTAATTCTCTTTACAATTTTTTATTTCTTCACACTTGAACCCAAGTTTGTTCTGTGCAGTCAGTTTGATTTTCTTCCTGTGAGCTTTCTTTATATGCTTGAGCTTTCCACAAAAAGTATCCCATGTAACACTCTTCACAAAGTGAAATCCCTTGTGAATCCGAGCAAAGGCAATACGAAGGTTGTTCATTTCTCCATCATCCTCTGCTGTCTGAAGACAGTCAGCACTAAAGGAATTCAGCAGTAGTGCAATGAAAAGGTTGAGAACCTGAAAGTCATTGAAATAACAAAATTAAAAGTCATGAGAGTAGAATTTGGAAAACTAAATTCTAGCAGATATTATCAAAGTTCAGCCTTACTAAGCAATCCAAACAATGTAATAACACAATTACTATGACTGATCAAGTTGTGGTTGATTAAGCAAAATTCTCCCTCAAGAATTTCAATGTTCCCATGATCCTTTCCCCCCCAGAAGTTATTTAAATTAGTAGCTAAAATAGATTGGTGTATGCCAAATGCATTAGTTGGCCAAAACAACTTTTCAAAGGTATAATAGTAACAAAGATTATGGTCATGGCTTGTCAGTTTAATAATGTCTCTTCCTTCTCAAACTAGAATTAAATCAGGCCTCTGTGGATCTGCTTTCAAAATCCTGTGAGATCAGATTCAGGCCCAGCAATTCAATTAAATCTGCAACATTGTCACAAAAGTCAAAATCAAAAGAAGCTCAAAGTGAGGTTTCCACCCTACTTTTGAGTAATTTTTTAAATGGAAGAATTTATAAACCTAAGCAACCTTTTTTCTTTTTTTTTTCTTGTTTTTTTTTTCTTTTTAAGGGAATGGGAGGATTTAGATATTTTTCTAGTTGTTTCAGTTGTTCCAGTTTGGGATGGGATCTGTGTGTCTTAATCTTTATTGTGTCAGAATTGGGCAGAGAAAACACCTGAGTCATCCAGGGACTACAGTCAGTAGGGAACATTCACCCTCCAGAGACTAGTTCACCCCATCTGTCTTAGTTACTGACCGTAGGTTGTAATAAATCTCATTCTTAGACACGCTTCTTGTTTACTTTCACAATAAGAAAGCCTGGACAAAGAATGTAGGCTAGACAATGGTTTGACAGTTAACATTATGTGATATGAATATAATTCACAGCATTTCATCACTGAAATCAACCACTGAGGTGTAGAACTGGTGGAACTTCAAACCAGGGGATTTGGGATTCAGCCATAGAACAGGTATTTCCCATAAAGGGCTGCCCAAAATTAATTCTCTTAAATTAATCATGCAAATTAAGGGAAAATTGATAAATGAATGATACTAAGAATGACATGCAAAACAAAGATTTTTTATGATTTGGGCACTAAGAAAGGACAGACCAGGACCAGGAAAGCAGTTTGCCTCTTATGCCCCAGCATGGGTGTGTAAGAGTGTGTAGTGTATGCCATAGCAGGATCTAGCTTTTGGATATAAATATACTTAGAGATAATTAAATAAAATCTTGATTTCAGTGCTAGGAGTATAGATTCTGCCATTTGCTGATAAAGAATTCAGTACTTGCATGAGCTCTTAAAATAAAAGAATAAATTAAAAATTGATTTTTTGATTTACAGAAGGACTTTAGCATTTAACTTCATTAATTCAAGCAGATAAGCCATAAGCCTTACTGATTATTTACATCCAAATCCCAAGATGTGAAGAAAAACAGTTGCCTGTATTACATTTACTGCAAAGATATTCCTCATCACATTGCCACAAGAAAAGGTCAAGTGATGCTGTGTGCAAAGCACAGAAAATGTGAAAATATGGTTAGCGGTTCAAAGGCAACAGGCAAGGGACTTTTGCAGACCATAATATACACAAGTAATTTTTCCACCTGTGTTTAGGGAAACTGACTCTTGCTGGGTGGGGAGGGGAATAACATTTTAATAGATTCAACTATAGACAGGACAAGGAGAAGAAAATACTGGAAAACTCACCACTAAATTTCCTATCACCATGACCAGCAAAAAGACAAGAAGGCACAGTGGTGGCTCAGCAACCACCATGCAGTCCCACATGGTCTCAATCCATTCTCCACACAGAATTCGGAAAACGACGAGGAATGAGTGGAAAAAGTCCATCATGTGCCAGCGTGGCTTGCCATATTTGTTTATTTTATGGCTGTTCTCCAGATAGCTTCTCCCAAAAAGTTGCACCCCTACTATAGCAAAAATGAAAACGATGATTGCCAGGACGAGGGTCAGATTACTCAGTGCTCCCAGGGAGTTACCAATTATTTTAATTAGAGTGTTTAAGGTTGGCCAGGACTTTGCCAGTTTGAAGACCCTCAGCTGCGTAGCAACATAAAACATAGTGTTAGACATCAGTAGAAGTAACCCATCTTTGCACCATTCAAATCCTCCAAAAAACACTTTAGATATTCTGAACTATTCCAGCATGCAATATTGGCAGCACTGTGACACTAAAACTTTTAAAAAACTATTCATAGGTTTGTTTTGTTGGTTTTCTTTAATTGAGAAACATTGCAAACATAAACCACCTTATAAAGGACCAGTTTAACTAGAGTCCCTGATTAGTCTTTGGCCCGCACAGGTAGGTATCCATAAAATGCACCTGATGTAGATTATGGTGCCGAACTTAGGTGTATCACAAAGAGCCAAAGCTGGGTGACCAACTACCATATTATTATAAAAGGATCCTGTATTTTGGTACAACAACATAAATCACTCCATGCTATATTATATGAATTCCTTATCATTTCACATTTTTAAGTAGAGATGTTTTTCCGTATTTGTACTCTGACACTTTTTTCCTAAGTTTCCTGTGCTGGTTTTTATATTTTTGATACAAGTTTTATAACATGACTACTCTGGAATATTTTTTTCCTCTGAATATTTCTTAGAATGTTAGACAGAAATACGTCATTTAAGCTCTGGCTTTAATATCACAAGTAGTTTAAGAGTGTGCTTCTTATTCCTACAGCCAAGAGGAAGAAAAAATATTAAAAGTAATAATATATTTCCTGCACCCTAACAGCAGACAACAGAAGTATTCTCTGCTATATTCAAAATGTAAAGCTTTATCAAACCGATTAAGTGTGAAGCTTACCAGTCTGAAGGATCTTAAAACTGACAGGGTTCCTCCTTTTCGCCTTTCTTTCTTGCTTCTTTGCTTGGGTAAACTCAGTTCAATTAAACTCAATGTGACGATTATACCGTCAAAAATATTCCAGGGCTGTTGAAAGTAGTAATATGGATCTAAAGCAATGATTTTTAAAATCATTTCTGCAGTGAAGATTCCAGTAAAAACCTGTGGCAAAGAAACAGTAGCATTAGGCTAAAAAAGTAGCCATGAATTTATCTCACTCTTAGATCATGTTTCTGCAAGTAACATTCGTGGACAGGTCAACAAGACACATTTTTATGAACTTCTAATACACTTTTAATTAAAATGGGAGGATTGATTTCTTCCTTCTCAGGAGTGTGTTAGAAGTATATTGATAAAATCTGGGTATTGTATATATTAGATATTCAGAGTTTATAAATGCGGAGTTTGCTAAACTTTGATTTTTACAGTTACTCTCTATGTCTCAAGTGAAAACACCCATCAATCAACCCTTGGTGCAAAATGTCACATAGCTGAGAGTTTGCTTACCAAGTTGCCTACATTTAGCATTGATTTAAAATTATCTGACATATTATTGTGCTCCAGTGCCATGAACAAAGTGTTCATCACAATGCAAACAGTGATGGTGAGATCAATAAAGGGATCCTTTATGAAAGCAGCCACTTTTGTCTTGATTCTCACCCAAAGTGGGCAACAGTCCCAAATTAGATACTTTAAAGCAAAATTATTCAGGCAGGGTGGGCATCTCCGCTGAGATTCTTCAAGTTCTAAATGCAAAAGAAAACCCCACTATAATTAGTTATCTTTAAACAGGATGGTGAAATTACTACTTCAAGTATTCAAAAAACCAGAGAAGAAAAAGGAAACTTCACATCTCGCACAAGCCCCCAAGCTTCCCTTTACTTCCTACCATTCATGTAGTCCCTACATCAGCTAATAAACATGAAGATAAAATTCAGAGAAAATATGATTCAAAGTGCATTAATGTAAATATATTTTGTAAGACTTTTGACCAGGTTTTATTTGGCTTAAACCTGTATTACAATCATCTGAATAAATTCACGCATATGATGCAGGGGCCAAGCCACAGTCTGTAGGTCAATATAGCATGCAAAGGCACTTTTCATCTTATCCTTCCATAGATGTCTAGGACAGTGGCTGTATCACACCCAACATCTTTTTGCCTCCTCTGACTCTGAACAGAGTCTAAAGAGTCAATAGCAGCCACAGGAATTCTGGTTATAGCTGAGGCAAATACAAACTACAGTGCCTAAAATTTGACCTTAGGCTACTTCTACTGGAAAGGTCATGTCTATAGTTTCTCAGTTGATGCAAGTTGCCACACTTATCTATTTTCTGTAATTAAAATACGGGACAGAAGCTGTTCTGGCTTTATCAATTTTGGTCAAATATAAACCTCATAGCCTTTTTTCTTATAACATCAATATTAAGGAGTCCCTCAAAATACTTTTGACCCTGCTGAAGTCCCATGCAAATTCATTGACAAACTGGAGCTTCAAGCTAAATACAAGCACAGTAGGTATTAGTAGAAACCTGGTGTTCAGGGATCTGAACATTTTTTAGACATCAGACAAGCTGGATCTGAGTCATATCTTTTTCTTAGTTGGACCTGTCCTTGCTTCTTCCCACTGTTTAGTTTTCACTTTTTCCCCTCCAGGCTCAAGTCTCAGATCCCACCCTACAGTGCTTATTCCAGTGTAACCATCTTGACCCAATCTCACTCTTGAACTAGCACTTGTCCTCTGATTTTCTAGACCAAGTGGTTTCCTCTTTATGTATACAGTGTGTATCTGGCAGAACTGGTGTTCAGATGCCATCAAAGACCCTTTCCTCTACCCTTTCAGATACCTGTTGTCAGGTTAACCCACAGCCACACAGAGATACAAGTTCTGTTCCATCCCATTTCACAACTGAAAGTGTGCAACAAAACCCTGATCTTTAGTGAATTACACCACAAAGCAAGGCTCCACTGGATGTATTGCAACTGTGATTGTCCCAAGGAAAAAAAAAAAAAACACAAAACCTAAAAATTTTATAAAAGGGACATCCCTGCCACAACAGATCCAACATTCACCCCACCCCTGCTAAATCCCATACTTGCGGTCTAATAACTGGTGATAGAGCTCCTCAACGGGGACAAAACATAGCAAGACTGATTTTCTCATCCTGAACAACTTGGGCTGAAATTTTTCAGTAAGATCATAAAAAAAAACTATCAAAGTGATAAAACACCCTAAAATAAATCATATGTAAAGTTAAAGGAATAAAATAATATTGAAAACCCAGGAACTGCCACGACTGATTTTGCTTGCATAATCTTACTATTGGATTCTGCATGCATATGGCTCTGCCAGTGGCATATCATAAATCACAGGGTCAGGGGGAGGAAACAGTATCTCAATCCTGCACATCAGATGCTAGAGAAACTCTTTCCACCCACTCTCCCTCCAATCCCCTTCACTGTCTGTCGTACAAAAAATATCTTACAATAGGGAAAAAATGTGTTCCAGTACACAATTGTGTGATAATGCTTTTTTTTCTCCTTTTTTTACGAAAGAGCCATATTAAACATGAAACTCCTTACTACACACCTACAAATCTCTGTTAACCTTTAAGAAATGTATTGACATTTTGGTCTTTCATGCTAGCATTACCTTAGGATTGAAATAAGCATAATGAGGAACCACTTACCCTCCAAGACACTGGTAATTATGCTAACTGCACTTGCTGCCCTTTGTCTCTGAAGTGCCTCGTTAAAGTACTCCACTGACAGATGAGGAGGCAAATGCATCATGCTGCTCTCATCATTTACAGCTGGCTGCTTAAAGAAGTAAACATGATTAGGGAGATACTACTGGAATAAAATTAAGTAGTATGTGATGATGGGTAACCATGGAAGTTAATAGGAACAATGACACACAGCCAAATAAATGCACCTTTTTGCAAGATATAATAGTTATTAAGAATGAAGGTCTTACTTTTCAGTAGTAACGCTAGAGTAAATAGATCCTGCAAGCATGTAATAGCAACAGGGAGAACACAAACACTGGAAATAAGTCCAGGAGAGGAAATATGCCTTGGAAATATTCCAGAGTTTAATGGACAAGGAGACAGATGAGAGGTAAACTGGTAGAAAAGCATCTCTACCCACTTCGGGAACTTACACAGTTTCTGCATAATGCTAAAGGTTGTATGAAGGGGAAAGAAATGACAGGTACCGCTCAAAACACTCCCCCGGGCAGGGTATGGGATAAAAAAACCTCATTGGTGGTTTGTAAGTCCAGTACTGGGAACTTTCAAAACTATGTTAACATAAATTGTGAGTACCAGAAAAATAAGGTTTTTAACAGAAATGCTGAAGTCTGGCTTTCAAGAACTTCCTACATCAGTATACTTCATTGCACATCACAGTTTTCTATCACACTGAAACTCTTAAGAAAAACCTGCCACTTACAGAGAAACCGTATTATAAAGTATTTATTGAAAATGATATATTTTCCTTACCAGATTCCCTTTTCCTGGGTCTTCCATTACAGGTGGAAGCATTACTCCTTCGGAAGACACTGGATCTAGGCTGTGCACCTTGCTGCCTCCTCCTCCCATCATTGAAATCACACCATTGCAGTCATCCATGTTAGCCCACTTGCTGCTGTGCACGCAGTTTGGCGTAGCAGGGTGAGAGCTTTGGCTTATTTGACTTTGCACACTGGATCGTCTTCCCATCTGCGTGACCGACAGCGACCGACGCTGGATTTTTTGTTCCCCAGCACTGCAGTTTTCCTCACCACTGAAATCCGTTCTGGAATCAACTTCTAAAGCAGGTATTTGGAAATTGAACACGCTCCCATGGCTAAGCCTGCGTTTCGCCTGATTTGCATTGGGACCATACATCAGTCCAAGGAAAGACTAAAACACAAGGAAAAGCAATATAGAGAGAACACCATATCACAGAGAAAATTAGGGGAAGCAATAAATGTTTAGAGTTTCATACCAGTTCCTATCAATCACTGCACGTCCAAAATTCTTATTTGATTCGTATTTTTCATGGAGGTTTATGCTTAGATTTTAAACATCAGATAATAAAATTATATCAGTAGTAGCAGCTATTTTTGTTATAAGCTTTATATTTATGTTTTAAGTAAGACATTTTAAACAGAGAATGATGGAACAGAAGGTAAATTCTAATAGTCATTCACCATTTTCTGTTTCTCAGTGTTATAGAAAATGTATTTTAACTGTTATTATAACTTCCTTTCCATCCTTCATTTATAGTATTTCCTTCTTTTCAAATTAATTTTTACATCTAGTTCTTCCTTATTCAAAAAAGTTGTTTATTTTAAAGATTTAAGAGTGATTTTTGTAAGTTTTTGTAATGGAATTTGTTTTGTGCTTTCAAGCAATTTATTTTAGTAATGAAATTGGAAAAGCTGTGAGGATCTCAGATTCAGACAATAGATTACCAACTTGCGTTGACTATCCGTGGACTGTGACTTGGGGAATTGTTCTTCATTTTCTTCTATCCCCAAGGACCGATTTCTCTTTTTCCTATTGCTTCTTTCTTTGATTTCTTTGGGAGACAAAGAAGAGGCTTCAAAGGAGCTAACTGACAGGACATCAATTCCTTTAATAGCCAATGACTGAAATCAAAACAAAAACATGGGTGATGTTTTTGCTGGGTACTTTTAATATAAGCAGAAAGAAAACACTTCTGTGCTCTTTATTATTTCCTTTTAAAAATTTGTGTTTCACAAAACTAGTTAAAAATCTTCTATTTTTAAAATCTCCATAAAAAGAAAGAGGAGAGAATTTCCCCAACATATGGAGTACTGAACAATAAGCTATTTGCAGTATGTTACATGATCATGTGTATTGAACCTGCCAGGGACAAAATAATCACATTATAGATCTTATTTAAAATTACTCCATTTGAAAATGATGTTGTAGAATATATCCTTTTCCCCAAATTAATGCTCAGAGTATTAAAATTCTGTTTTTTTCACTGGAGATCCTTAAGGCTGTATTCACACTGTGGCTGACTTTCATTCCTATACTGAATTTAGGACAATGTCAAAACACGGTTTTTTGTTCTAGAAGCCATTTAAGTTACCAAGACACTTTCATTCAACTATGATAGGTTTTTGGCTCAGATGCTAATGTGGTTAACATAATTATTGTATATTTCTCTGCTCAGCAGCCCACAAAGATAAAATTGAATAAAAAGTAAAAGCAAGTACATTTTTTTTGGAAGCTGCTAGTTAATTTCATAGTATAATTTTATACTTTATAGAGATGTTAAAATACTATTTTTTTACAGTTACAGAGCCTTTAATACTCATTATCCACAATAAAAGTTATTGTTTCACAGGAAAAATACACAGCTGAACATGGAATTATTCCTGTAACTCTAGGAATCACTACTTTCAGTAACTTATCACTTGCTCCTGCTAACATGAGTGACTACTTTATACAGCTGTACACAAGGAGTTATGCTTTCCCTTATGTGACTGATGCCAGGACACTGAGACAAATGCTTGCAAGGGAATAATTTACATACCTCCTGCTCCTTCTGTAATAATTCCATGGCTTCACGAAATTTCCTTTCCTTTGCCTCCGTTTCAGCAATGGTGGCCTTGTTCTGCTCTTCATATGCCATTGTTACTACTGCCAGAATCAAGTTGACTAGATAAAATGAGCCCAGAAAGATGACCAGCATGAAGAAGAGTATATACACCTTCCCAGAAGCTCTGAGGGTCTGTAAGCAACACATCCCAGAGATGAAAATTACCATAAAAAATAACAAATAGTCTTTCAATGTGTCCTTGAAATTCTTTGGAATCACTAAGCTTCCTAGACATAATGGTTTAGGAAGCTTGAATGGAAATATGCCTTCCTTGGTTCTTCGTCTCCCTCTTTCTCCCTCTTCCTGCACCATTGCCTATGAATAACTGATCATATGGACTACTAGGGAGGCATTGTTATATTTTTGAAGGACAATACAGGACACTTTTAGTACTTTTTAAGTCCCTAAACAAGCAGGGTGATAAGTCTATTGCTGGGAAGCACTTCAGCATCCCTTTTCTAGGAGGCACAGCTTGTGGAAAGGGAAAAGGGAGGATGTGGGTTTGATGACTTGCAGCTCTTGCTTTTCTCTGAGGTTTCTCACCCTTTCTACACATTTTCTGCTTTGGCTTTTGCTCTTCCTGGAAGACCAGTTCTGAATTATGCTCAAAGCTGGTACCTGCTGGTACAGACGCTCCCAGTAGTCTTGGGTCATCAGGCGGAACAAAGAAAGAAAAGCCCAGCCAAAGGAATCAAAACTAGTGAAACCATAATCAGGATTTGGCCCAATTTTCAAGCATATATAGTCTGGAGGACAGACCCTAGAAGTAAAAATAAAAAGTGGAGCTCTTTTAAGCATGCAGATTCCAAGGAGAACTTCAGCATATGTGAGAGTTCTGATGGTTATTCAGCTCTGCATTTCATTAGATTGCAAACCCATTGTCCACTCCAGGTAGTATTGTCTGGAAATTGGGATGGAAAAAGCAACACCTGTAACCCAGCAGCAGAGGAAGAGAGGCTGGAGTAGACCACCAGCCCAGGACAACTTCCTCATACCCTGCCCTTCACTGCAAAGTAGACACATTCCCTCCTTGCCCAAACCTGCCCTCCAAAGTCTGTGTTTTGTTTTTCCAGTTTAACACTCATGACCCTTTACAGAGAGGAGCATGTCTGTCCTGTGCTGTATCTGAGATCTTTCATGTTTTCAGTTCTCTTGTACATCCATGGGGAAGAGAAAGACAATGCTCCTGGAAAGGCTCAAAGGAATTTAGAAGCAGTAATAGTGTAGAATAAATCAAAATTTAGAATAAATAATTTAGAATAAGCCAACTGCAGGCTCATACTTCATTCCTTATAAGTTATCTGACTGTTTATTATATTGTCTTGTCTGTGTTCATGTTGCTGCAGTGAAGGAAACTTTGGAATTTCTGCTTATGCCTCATATGACTGAGCAAATATAGAAGCACTAAGGCAGACAAAACTTCCAAAGAAGATTAAGTGTACTTACCCAGCACCAGGGCCACATAGCAAAATATCTGAGGTGCCCTCTTTCTTAGCAAAATATGCTATAAAAAAGCAGAAAAAAATAAAAATAAAATACTTTTTAGCCTGAATCTTCTATCCTTTGATGTGAGTAGTGACAAGTAATCAGTGACCTCTTAAGTGTACTGTGCACACACATGAACAGGTTTCCCACACTCACAGTGACTGCACCAGATTGCAAGATGTTCTCATTTATAAACATGTGTATGCACAAATTTCAGAGTGCAGGCAGTCCTTAAAACAGAATAAAATAAAATATTATCACTTTGGCCACATCTGCATGAAGGAAGTGAAGAATTGGAGGGCACAGGCACAAGCACAGTCCCTGGTTTGGTAACAGCACAAACACTTTTGGGTTAGTAGCAATTAGCCCTCTTCCAGGGCAGTGTACAAACATAATACGGGATAGCACAGACCACTTCTAATGAGCAATAAAAAAACCCAAATCTCTGTTCTGAGAGGGAAGAACACGGGTACACACCATGTCATGGCACTGCTCAGCTGAACCAAACAGCAGGTCCTAACTCTGCTTAGCTGAGAAATAGAGATTTCTTCATTAGGATGCTCTAGTAGCCTTTTTGACCTCTTCCCCTACTTCTTTTAGCATTAGTTACCCTGCTGCCTGAGCTAGTACCGCACTAAAAGTAATAGCTTTAGTGCTATTAGCTATTTAGTCCCATTAAGATGTGCGGTTATTATCCCAGATGCAAGGGAGGTCTCAGGTCTTCCTGGTGTTTCACAAACCTCAGCTGTGCTCACCAGGTAAGTTAGCATGATTGAGAGCCAACAGGAATCTTCAGCATCAGCTGTACCATACCATGAAAACACATTGTAAAGGAATGAGTCATTATCTCACCTACTTTCCTTCCAAATTTTGTTCAGTTTTTGTTCCTGCCAACTGACAAAAAGGGTGTTTTAAGAAGATTCAGTGATTGAGCTTCAGAGAATCACAGCAACATGTAGTTCTCCAGGTAGGAGATGGGAACTTCCCACAAAATCAGGATCAAAGAAGCCCATTAATAAAAATGTGCAAAAAAAAAGATAAAAATTCAAAACTGGGCTTATAGGCTATAAGTCCTAAATCCTGTGGGAAAGTCGCCTAGCTTTCATTAAATCTATGTGAGCTCTCCTATTCTTTTTACCATCATTGCAAATCACCCTGAATAAGACATATTTTGTTTCCTGTTTCTTCAACTAAATGCTAAAGAAACTTAGCATTTTTAGCCAAATTTTGTCACACACATGGTCTCCTTTGTGGTATTCCAGCCACCACCTGGTTTCTTTTGAAGTTTGCTTTCAATTACCATTTTTACAACATTCTGTATATGTAAATGACTTCGTTCTTCGGTACACTTTTTGGTAGGTGCAAGAGTTTCTTGCAAAAGGTTTTTCCTCAAAAACCTTTCATACAAAGTCTTTCTCCCTCTGGACTGTGAAGTTGTTAAAGAAATCCTGTCTGAACAAATCTCTCCCACAGAGTGCGTACAAACAGCAATCTTGTGTGGTTTTTTTATGTATTTCAGCATTTCCCTTGCAATAATGCTTCTCTACTTGCATAACTACTGCTATGTCTGAACTTGCTGGTGGAGATTTTCTTCAGTGATTAAGGTTTCTTCATATTTTTGGCACAGACATTGTTTAATTTGTATTTTTTCATGTATATTGAAGCTTTTCCTTTAGCACAAGGATTTTTCTTACTGAATTGCACCTTGTAGTTGTTGTTCCTCTGAGTATGGTTTGGTGCATTTTCAGTTCTCTGCTCTATGCTTCCATCACCAGCCTTAATTGTATACATGGAAGATGTACATTGTAGATATATAAGACATAAAAAGAAGATACCTAGGGATGTAAAGAAGAATGTAACTTTGACTTCTAAGAAAATTCCTGTTTCAAACTGAGAACTAATTCACTGGGCAGCAAAATGAAGATGTACAGGCTCTTCAGCATGTAGCAGAAGGTGAACTTTGGGGAATTACATCAGAGAATGAGCTAATGCATTTTTCAGTTATTGCCATATCATTCTGGGAAACAGAGCTGGATGTTACTGGAAAATTTGGGAGTGCTATTTCTTACAATGAAGGGAAGGGATGCACTCCTGGATGCCTGCAAGCTGCTCTGGCAATCTGAAGGCCATTATCAGGTGGTTACTCACCAAAATATCAGCTACCAAAACATCAATATAATTTACAACAGTGGTTATACATGCATTCATAAGTGTCTCTATCATAATCTAAAAAAGAATTAAGGAGGAAAAGTTACCTGTGTCATTAGCAAACATTTCATAGGATTCCCATGTTCTGTTAAGGACATAAGGTAATTTACTGAACTCTGTAGAGTTCCTGATACACTTTTGTCTCAGATTGCCCTTAAAAAGCTGGAGGCCAATGAGAGCAAAGACACTCAGGCAGAAAACAGTCAGGATCATCACATTGGAAAGTTTCTTAACAGACTGAATAAGTGCCCCCACAATGATCTTGAGTCCTAGGAAGACAATAAATGAAGAAAAATCAGCATGAAAAACTGAGATTCTTACATCATGCTTGATTAGAGATAAAACAATATAGCAACCAAAGTAACATAATTACTGGAGAATATATGGCAAATATATTTGCAATGCAAGTGTAGTTTGCATGACAGAGATTAATATGAAGAACTTTTTTCTCCCCTCGTTTGATTGACCATAACATTTCCACATGTTCCTCTTATCCCTATAAAATATTTAGATATGGGTGAGGAACCTGAAACAGTCCAGTTTATCTTATCCAGAATGAGCAATATGTGTAATTCAAAAAGAAACGTAAAAAAAGATATTTTTAACACTGGTAATCTGTGAAGAAACTGGAAACACTGGAAATAAGAATGAATATGACCAAAATGATTTGAAAGAAAACACAGAGACAACCCACTGTTTCTTAATTTGTATTTCATCATGATAAAGAGTCTACCGGCTTTATAACCAAGGGAAAAGTGCAAAGGAAACTGTTTTCCCGGGGATGGTGTAATATGGGTAACAGTAAAGTCTGTTCAAAGGAAAAAAATAATTAAAAAAAAAAAAAGGAAAGGCAAATCCAACATTTTGATTGGAGCAAAGAATCAGTTGTGAGTAGCGCCAAATATTCAGCAGAAAATGTTTCTTACCTGGAACTACTGAAATGGTTTTTAAAGCTCTCAGAACCCTGAAAGTCCGAAGAACTGACACACTCCCCAAGTTACTAAATGCTCCCACGTACCTGTGAAGTCAGGACATTATATGTCAAGTGGTTGAAGTTGAGTAAACCAGGCAATTATTTTACAGTGTTCATTCTGAACAGTCAATCCTTCTGAGCATATTTAAAGTATTAATAAACTACGTATCTAGGATTTGTCTGAAGACTTATAAAATAGAAATCCATTTCTTAATTATTAGAGTTTCCTTATGAGGTAGCTCTTGGCTTGTGCACAACTGCTTTTGTGTCAGCATCTTAACCATCATGCATTTGAAATATAGACAAAGATAACACTTAAAATAATTCAAGTGGAAACACTGGCTGAACTGGTTTGATCTCCCATCTGTAGGTGCACCTAACCAATATAAAAGCTTTCTAATCACCACAAACTGAAGCTCAAACTATGATTTATGGAGGCAAAAAGCAAAAATTTAATCCACTATCATGGTGTCTATGCATATTACTTTATTATCTAACTTACACTTCCATTCACAGGATTAGTATGTTTGTATTTGACAGCCTAGCTATTATATTTCTCTGACTGAAATGTATCCATTCCTGTACACTCACCACAGAGTATATCTTACTCTAAACTGTTCTACTCCCATCTTGAAAGACTAACACATTGTTATACAGTGACTAATAAAACAAGGAGAAAAGTCAATGTCCTAGATAGTTTCAGATGCAATTAGGACCCACAGGTTTTTGTACTTCAGATAGCCTTTTACACTGCACCAATAAGACTTTTCAAACAGAACACTTCAAACAGGTAATCCATATTTTATATATTCCTACTTACGCCATGACAATAACACTGAAATCCAACCAGTTCCAGGGATCTCGAAGGAAAGTGAATTCATTTAGACAGAATCCTCTTGCCAATATTTTTATCAATGATTCAAAAGTGTAAATGCCAGTGAAAGTAAATCTAAGGAAAGGAGAAAAGTGCCAAAGGAGCACAGCAATATTAGCAATTAACAGAAGAGACAGTCAGACTATTGTCTAAACCAAAACCCAAGCCAATGCTGCAGAGAAGTGATGGAAAGGTAGCTGTCGGTTTGAGTGTATTATATCAGCATCTGATTCCCATGGACTTTGAGACAGCAGCTGACGGCAATCTGTACATGGCCATTACTGTGCATGCCTGTAACATGTTATTTTGACATTCCACAATTTTTTTTCAAACTCTTTCATGTGAATCCCCATAATTTACTCTTAGCTATTTGCTAAAATAAAAACTCTTGCTAACAAAACTCTTAGCTACTTGCTAAAATAAAGATCAAAACTTGCTGTCTTTCTCTGGTTTCTAGTGGCCAAGTGGATGTATGATATGTTGCGTATTATTTACTTTGGGCACACAACATCCATTTCTGTGCAGAATGCTTGAAACACTTAGATAAATATAAGAGTACAGGATTTTCAATTTAAGATGGCAATTATTCTTATTAATGGAAAATTATCAGTAAAAGCTCTTCTGTACTTACTGAGTGCACTTCTCATTTCAGCAAGGCAGCAATCTCCCTACAGAATTCAAAAGGCATTCATTTGATAGTCAGCAAATGCACTAAAGAAATTATTTGGATGTAGTGCTTCCCTTTTCATTTAGAAAGAAGTATTCTGAAATTATTATTGAAATGCATTTGAACAGTAGTTTTGATGCCAACAGCGGCTGAAACTCTAATCTTTAATGCGCTCATAGGTAGTGAGATACCACAGCATCTTCTGGAGATACGTATATCAATACCATGCTTGCAGAGGGTTTGGCATTCCCAACTGTTTCAGTGTTGTATAATATGAGATAAGAACAATTTCAGACCTGTTTTTAAAACTAAATATTTTGGAACCTTGTCCTTTGCATTAGGTGTTAGAATTATTATATTCTAACATTTTTATGCCAAATAGAAAAAAAAGAGAGCTGAAATATAATTTAAAAAAAGTAAAAACATGTGATTATACAGCTTAAGTGTTAGTACAAAGGCACGGGATTTATTGTGACTTAACATTGCAAGAGTTGGCAGTGCTGAAGATAAGAGCTTTACTTTCTAACAGTGTCCTGCAGGCCAGCAGCTTTTGACAGAATGTTTTATTAGAGCAAAACTCAGTATTTCAATATTATTAACAAGATTTTTAAGAGAAAGCAGCTCTTGATGTGCTTCATCAACATTGACAATGGGAAATGTATCTGGATAAAGAGCAAATAATTAGTAACTTCTGGAAATGGGATAACAAACTGGAGCAGTAGGGCAGACATGAAGCTAGTTCAACATTGGAACTTTGTCTACACTTACTCTCTCCTACAACACCACAGTTATCATAGACATCGAGTTTAAAGATAAAAGTACTCCCTCTAAGAAAAACAGATGTCTTAAGCAACTTTCCTTCTAAATCCCCCACCAAATATCTTGAGTGAAGGTGGCAATATAAATCTCAATAATTCAACATAAGTACAGAATTAAAAGGCATACATACCCACAGATAGATACTTACTCAACATACTTGTTCCATGAAGGAGATAGAGAAGCTTTAGAGGACTCAGTCAGAGCCATGAATACACAATTAGTTAAAATAGTGCACATGATAAACAAGGTGAATAATGTAAGTCATGGGAGTGAAGGCAAAGAACATGACATTGATTCAGAAACATAACTAAATATTCTACCAGTCATAGACATAGTATCTGGTTCTGAGTTTAGGGCTCTCCATCCCCACAAAAAATCTGCTGGCTTTAGCTTCAAGCATTGTCAAACTGTCATAAGTCCTGGAGCTGGACCACGAGTCTTGGAATGACAATATCAGCCAATTTGCTGCCTAGGGAAGGTCTCAAATGAGAGGCATCACTCCTCCAGGGATGTCAGTCGATGATACAATGTCAATTTTGGACCCATTGCACCTAACTCAGCACCACAGAGTCAGGAAATGGCTGGAAACCTAAAATTCGCGCAGGGATACAGCAGACTGCACTGTGCCTGATTCAGCCCCAAGCAATAGCTCTGGTCTCGTTCCCCAGTGCCAAGCTGCAGCAATACACTAGTGATTCCTTGCCCCCTAAATCTGATGTATGAAGTGGGGTCTATATTACCTTTATGTTTCAAGAGCATTCCCTGCAACAGCATCCCTGGAAATTTTCACTTTCATATACCCAAGATACATTTTTTCAATCCAATTTCTTAAAGCAAATAAATTTGCATAATTTTTCTTTCCTTAAACTGGCCAACGGTTAATCAGCTTTCGTACATGAGTTGAATTCCTACAGTTTGTTTAAATGGAAGATGAGAGAGAGGATAGGGATCTTATTCATCTTCTCACTGAGAAAGGCTTTAGCATGAGGCACTTGTTAATGGAACATCAGGAAATCAACATCAGGGATCACTCTCAGAACACGTATCTGTAGAAAAATCAGGCTTCCATACTCACAGTACTCGCTATTTATTTCTGAGTAGCACAAAGGAAACAAGTCAACAATAATTTCTAAGGTAATTCAGAATTAGAAATCATCTGGAGTGAGGAAAAGATTAAATTGATTCAATGCTCCAAAATACATAAGCACAGAATGACATAGGTGTTTGTAATCAGGAAGAGGAAATGAAGCCAACAAAAGGATATGAATGTACTAAAATTTTAATTGCTGTTCTTCGAATTGGATGGAAAGGACTGAGGATCCACAAGGCACTTGTAGCAGTAAATCTGAAGATTGTTTTCTGCTTGTTTAGCACTATGAAGATCTTAAAAAAAAATACAGAGAAACATGAAGCTTTCAGGAAGTTGAACATAGAACATACTTTTATACCATGTCCTGTTGCATCAGTGATGAGCAAGAGTTTGATTTTAACTTTAATGTTTGTTGACTGTTTCTGATGCTTTGTGATATTTGCTATCCTTTCATCAAAGTGATGAAAGATTTAATACCCATTAACTGTGAAGCTGTAAAAAAAAAAAAAACAACTCAGCAGGAAATTTTTCTATAAACCTTAGGACTTGCAAAGAGTTGTGCACAGAACTAATCTTGCTTATGAGTATTCTCTCAAACAGAACCTCCCACTGAGGCAAGATAAACAGAGGTGGAAGGAAGAACTGCAGCCTTTAATGTTGCTGTTGTTGACAGTGATCCTCTATCTGTAAGACTGTAGAAATTAGTTCAAAGTATTAACCATTTCTCAAGCAATAAGCATAATTTCCAATGGATTAGCTCCCGTTTTCTCTGTTCTTTATTGAAAATTGTATTATTCCATATTTCATAACTAGAATATGGAGTTTGAATAAGTAGGTTTTAAGGATTCATCAGCAAAAGTTTTAAAAAATTTTTTATACATAGGTGATCATTTATCATACATGTAAGTGGAGCATAACCATCGAGATGCAAAGGAGCATAGTTTCAAGTCATGGCATTTAAAAAAATTTACAAAATTATCATAATTTCTCATAGATTTGCCTCAGCCCACCCTTTTCTTCCTTTATCCACTTCATTTTTTTTTGCTTCCATTCTGATTCAAATGTTAATCAAGTTCATGCTACTTAATTCCTATGATTCAAAATTAAGCTTTTCTAAAGAAGATTACAGCATGTCATTCAGCTGTGCCAACTGCATGCATTATTATAATCTAGAAAGGGATGATACTTTTTCCGAAGCGATGTAAGCAAAACAGTTTAATAGATAATTCACATAAACCCTTCTTAGCAACATGGTAAAACAAACTAAAATCAAAGCATCGTGGTTGGCTCTAACCTTACGATCTTTGTAATAAGGGTCAAGATCCTCCAATGGCTCTCCAATGAGCTCTGGAGGAGGATTTCCATAAAGAGCTGGTAACTTCTGGAAAGCTTTTAGGTCAAGTTGAGGACGTGGTTTCTCCTCAGGTTTCTGGTCTATAGTATTTCTTCGACAACTCTTCTTAGCAGCAATCCTCTTCTTGATGGCAGCCAAGGATTCGGAAGTGAACTTACGAAAGTTGTTGGTACCAGGTAGTAAGAACTCAGCCATTTTTTATTCTTCTCTTCCTGTCACTAATTCTGTTCAAATAATAGAAACAAGTAGAAAGAAATTCAGGTAACTCCAAAATAGGTAAGTTAAGAAAATTAAACAACGGGTTGCCCATGTGTGGCTAGTAACATAGACTTCTGAGCCATCAGCTTCTAAAGATAAAAAAAAGAAATAAATGATCAATAGCTATTTCAGTGAGATGCCTGGGATGTGGGCACACCTCCGTAAACTTCAGAGTACCTTATTTAAGATTCCTGTTTTCCTGAGTGCTCTTGAGTTGTTGTTCAGAAAAAAACCTAAGGTACTGATTTAACACAGTATTTGGAAACAGGACAATAAAACCCAAACTGCCGCAACATTGGATATGTGGAAGGTGTGTCAGCAACAGAAGGACCAGGTATTAAATTAACTAGTGCAGAATAAACACTCGGGTCAATAACACACCCTGGTGGTGTTAGCACAGGAATGTGCTGTGCTCAAGCATCAGATTTAACTCATGACTTGCACAGTCAGTACTGACTGACACAGTGGTCAGAAATGCTTGATCGAGCATTAATTTTATGCCCATTTGTCAGAAAAACAGAAGTGAGATTATACTAGAAAAATACTTTGCATTATTTAATGGAGAATTTTGGTCAGGTATTGGACAGTATCCATGTAACTAAAATCAGCCTGAGTCCATACTTGGTGGTATAGTGAATCCAACCTTCTACCTTAACACTGAAAAACTTCAAAGCAAGCCCATGAAATGCACATATATTGACAGTGAAAAAAATTGAAAATGGTACACAGAGTAAGATGATCCAGACCTGTATCCTTGTGCTAAACTCACCCAGAAGCTCTATAAGGAGATTTCTCTAAAACATTTCCTTTGATTATGACCTATAGGAAGATACTGTTGATTCAGTACAGTCACTGAGCTACTGAGCCAGTGGAATCCCACCTGCACACTGTGATGGAACCAGTCTGGTAGAGGACTTTACCCAGGGTGGATCACTGTTGACTATGGGTAGATTGCATTAGAAGCACAAGGCCAGGTCCTTCCATCCAGAAGCTGCCACCACCATTTCAACGTGTCCTTCAGAGTTCACACCGTAACTAGCAATCAGATCTTGGAAAGTTTAAAACATCCTTGCAAGACAACTGCCCAGTGACCTGTTCTTGCACCTTTCCTTTCCAGGCTTTATATGCAATATCCCAAGAAGACACAAAATCTGAATTAAGAGGTTTTGTTTTACTGAAAATAACTTTGCCACGTGTGCTGACTCCCTGTATCTTCCCCTTGCCATGATGTGCCATTTCGCTTCTCCCCAGATACAACATGATTTCAGTTGTCCTCACACTGCTGAACTTTATGAAACCATTGCTGTGAGAACAACAGCTGAAGTTCAGTGACAAAACTAACTGCAGTGGTATCTCTGCATTTTTACAGTCTGCCTGATTCTCTTATTAAATAAGCACATAAAATAAGAAATATGAAAAGTAACCCTTGCTTCCCGCATAAATTAACACCATTTATGGAACAGAAATAGGTATTCAAGTAAGAATATTCATTATTTTACTTTTTTTTCAAGGTCAAGCTAACAGTTTGGGAGCTGTGCATGATATTATAGCAAAAAAAGAAAACAGTAACATCCACTCGCAAATTTTCAAGTCTTCGGCTGGCCAAAGCGATATTTGTTTTGTAGACGCTCAGGGTAATTTAGATGTTGTGGTATCAGTTACGAGAGCTGTGAATGATGCATGAAATGACACAATTTCTGTGCAATGCACAGAGGGAATACAATAACTACTTTATTCTGCTGTGTGCCAAATCATTTAAACATGCTCATCCCGCCAACACAGCACTTCCATAAAAGTCTACCTGATCTCAGAAGTTCACCATTACAGTTCTGCCTCTGTTGCAGATATCTTTGTGGGTTTATCTTCTCTCTTCCATGAAACAATCTTTCAAATCCCAGAAAAGAAACTTTGGTTGTCACACTGTTCTCCCTTAAAACTACTAGAAGGCAGAGCAAAATCTGGGAAGACAAGGATGGGGAAATAAAAGGAAGCATGAAGGTGCACAGTTTGCAGGTTCTTGACTGAAGCTGGGGACCAGGCAGGGGAGTCTTTCCTGGTGGTTTTAAAAATTGCTCCACAGGTGAACAAACATTAAGGAAAGGAAACACAGTGTTGTGCTTGCTGTGTCACCTGTCAGTGGCAAAATGTCCTTTGATAGAAGGTGCAAGTCACAGAATAGAAGGTTACAATACACTTTTAATTCATGGGCAATTCTGAGCTACTCAGCCTAGTCCTGAATAAACTCTAATTATTGTTAAAGTAATCTAGAAAAGTGTTCCTGATTCATTCAAGTGTCTTTAAAAATAGGCCCAAAGTAATTTCTGTTACTCATAGTCTCAGGGAGGATAGCTTGCAAAGTACAGCTGAGATGTATTTAGTTTTTTATATGACCAGGGCTGGATTTACCAATTTGACCAAAAGAAGTTAAAAGTGTTAATGTAAAACCAGTTTTGCCTTCTGTGTCACAGAAGAAACAGTACTATTTTGTCCTTTTCTCTAGACTTGAAATATCTGAAAAATAGATTGACATTTAATATCCCTTCAAAATGAAAGGTTTTCTTATCCTTTGACTGAGGACTAAAGAATGATGAATTAAATCATCATGATTGAAGAATAATAATAATAAAACCCAAAAAGTATTTAGGATTTGTTATTTGAGATGTCAAATATATTTCCTATGAATTATTTGTCAAATACCAAAATGTGTAGCTAGATGGCTTTCTAAAGTAAGGCTACTTTCTTCCATATGTGTTTTCCTCTTTAGGAATATTCATTGTGACAGACTGGGAAACAAGGTTACTGTCAAAGATGTTTTCTCTCCTTTTCTTGTTACTGCAATCACCCAATTCAATCCTCGGTTAATGAATAAAAGTTGTTCTCAATTATCTGATTTCCTGGCTTCATGATCTATTATGCAGAGAGGTGAGAATATGTTGACATTTACTGTGATCAGCATGACCAAGGTAATTAGAATGATCAGAGTGGCCAGGATTACCTTATTACTTTTTTTTCTCTTTGGCTCGGATGATTGCAATTCTTGTCTGCAAAAACTGTCCCTTTGGTTTAAAAGGACTTTCATAATATGCACAGAAATGATCTCTTAAATAACTGGATAAACAGTTGTTTGAAGACAGTAAATGAAAAGCCTCATCCTTTCGAAACAGCTGAAATGCTATTAATGCCTTCAGTGTAGCTGAATTTTTGTACACTTTTACATCTTATTCAGCAATAATATCCCATAGTAAAATTAGGGACTCTAGACTGATCCAGCTACTTATAACTCCAATAATTAGTTTGGGAGCCAAATCTATCAATATAAACTTTGGGAAAACTTGCCAGACTGCACCACCCAAAGTTATTATGGTATACTTGGGCTCTGTTGCACCTTTCTACATCTAAATTACCAATGTAAGACAAATCTTTCTAGAACTAAAGGAGAAAAGATTGACTTAACAGCAACTTAAAGTTTCTGTAGAACTGTTCTATGCTTTCCTCAGAAACTTCTCTGTATTTTAAGGCAGATAATTAAACCAAACCAAACTGACATTACATTAACGATCTTTAAAACTTGTATGAAAATAACTTTGGTATATTAATGCATGTACATTTTTATCACAGAATAATTCAGATTGAAAGGAACTCAGGAGGTCTCTAGTTTAACCTACTCCTCAGAATGGCTCAGTGATGAGATCAGGGCTTTATTCAGGCAAATCTCCAAGGACGAGACTACACAACCTCTTTCAGCAACAGTACTTGATTGTTACAATCCACTTGGACTCCTTGACGTTTTCAGCTCATGCCCCTTGCCTCTTGTCTTCCAACCATGCAGCGCTGTAATAATAAATAATAAAATGCTGTATTAAGTCAAAAGCTACAAGGCAACCCCTCCTCCCCAAAATGTCTATATAAGGAAGACATATACCTACTTCAGCTCATTTAGTCTACCTATTTATAGCAGCTCACAAGAAACATCTTACAGGTCTGAATAACACCATCCAGCGTAGCACCATTGAGATTGCCATGAAAGACAAAGATCAGCGTATTTGCTCATTAGCTTCCCACCTTTAGAACACCACATCGTACCTGAATTGTGCTGCAGCACCATCCTTTGAATATTCCAGGTTCAACCCCAAAACTTGCCTACCTTCCCTAGACAGCATGGCTGAGAGTTCCAGTTGTCTGAGCCTCCCAGCGTGGCATCTGAATGAGATGGCAACAGCTGGTATAGTTAGTTTATGCTCTCTTTGCAATCAACAAAACTGAGGACAATGACCAGACAAGCTAATGATCAGTAAACACACAGATTAAGACACAATGAAGAGTGATGAAAAATGCAACAGATTTTTATCATTGCTTATAGAAGGAAACTTGGCATGAGATAAATCCCACCTTTTCAATCTGGGATTCACACCTTACAGCTTCACAGTGCTGGGGAATGAAGGCAGCTGACTGTAGATTTGTAACAACTGGAAACTGACAAATCAGTTTACAAAGACCTGATACATCCTGTTAGCATTTATCCAGAAAGCTCCTTTGGGTGGGATTCATCTCACATCATTGCAGACATCTCAGTTAGATGGCTACATCTCTACCAGTCCTCCAACTGCCTGCTTTTCACATTCTTTCAGAATGAAATGAATAACACCTCAGAGTTCCAGCTGACTACAACTGACCACCTGAGATACCTCAAGTTGGGTGAGATAAATTTAACTCTGCATCCATTAGGCCTACTCTTCTTGATCCCTCAACTAAGAGACAGCTGCTGAACTTCCAAAGATTAATAATACAGTCAGGGGTAGAACTGGGCAAACACCATTAGTCACCAGCAGACTGTGAACACATAAGAATTCCAGGATTGCCTTATATTACATTGCTTCCTTAATGACTACTTACAGGACAGCCCTTCTTAGCAATTAGTGAAGTGTTAAGTCACATTT